GAGCTTGGAAGGTAGAGGAGGGGCAGAGAGAGAGAAAAGGCCCCCGTAGAGGGGTGCAGGCTCCCACCCTGCCCCCTGGCTTCACAGGGAGTTAGGGAAGGCTGGCAGGTTCTGGGGGGTCAGCCAGGGAAGGGCAACCCCAACTGTCAGAAAAAAGACCAGAACCCACACCCGGGGCACAGGCGCTTCCATGGGTGCAGAGCTGGCAGATTCTCCAAACAGACAGGACTCACCCTTTAATCCAAGGCACCTGAAGTGTTTCTCCGACCATAACACCTCTGTTGAAGTAAAATAATAAGCAAGTCCGCACTGAAATTCTCGTTCTCCTGGGAAAGGGCAACCAGGGCTCCCTCTCACTGTCCCTTCGCTGTCTCCTTACACCAAGTGATATCCCAACCTTGGAAGCAATGGGCAGCAGGCAGCAGGCTCAGCCCAGGAAGCCACTCTCACGGCTGGAGTGGCCATCCCCACCTGGGGCCAGCAGGGACTGGTGGAGCAGACAGCAGACCCGAAAGTGTGGGACCATCAACACAGACAGGCATGAGGGGTGGCTGCACCCTTTGGGAACTAACTTAGGACACAGAGACCTCCTGCAGGAGGAACACGTTACCAGGGAGGGTCACCGCTTTCCTGGAGATTCTGATGCAGGAACAGGTTCAGGCCACTCTGGCTGACATGCAGGTCTTTTTATTTGTCCCAATCTAGCTTTTTTTTTGGTCATGTTGAAAACATAAAATCAGAAAGTACAGAAATGTTAGAAAGTAAAATGTATTAATTTCTCTAATCCCACCACACACAGATAACCTCTGCTAACATTTATCTGCTTCCAGGACTTCACCCAGAAACGGACATTGAAGAATATGTTTGTGCTGACAAGGGGAATCACACCAGTCATGACTTTGAGAACCACTTTTACTTGGCCTGGGGGGTCGTCTTCTGGGCACAGTTGGCAGTGGGTTCACCTGACCCTTAGTTTAGCAGCAGACACTTCAAGGCCTGTGCCTAACTTTTTATTTGTAATTTTGTATTCTTTTCTTAAGGAAGGTCCCTCAAGCCACAGAGCCTCAGGCCCCACACAACCTGCGTCCACCCAGGCTGTACGATGCTCCAGGGTCTGGGTACAGGGCCAGCCACAGCCTCACTAGCTGGCTGCTCCCTTACAGGTCTCCTCATTAGCAGCTCGTTCTGATGGCCACACCCGCCAAGGGACCTCCTTGGCCTTTGGCTTGGGACGATGCTGACCCACTGGAGGGAGTTCTGGCCCAGAAGTCCTGGGACATCCCCTGTATGAACACCATGTCTGACGTGACACTTGCCACCCTTTCCAGTCAATTGCCCCTCGGCCCGTCCCTGTCACAAGATGGCAGGTGCCTCAAGGGTGGGGGCTCTGCTGTCCCTGGGTCGTGGTCCCCAGAGCAGGACAGCACTGCAGGTGGATGTCTGGCTCGAAAGCGCAGGCACACGTGCCGTGCTTCTCTGGACGGCTGCACAGTGGGAAGCAGGGCCGTCTAATCCAGAGTTGGAGACAGGGGACTGCAAGGCAGGGAGGGCGAGGGAAACCCACAGCCAGGAGGGGGCTGTGGCTCTGCTGCTACCGTGACACAGCCACCAAATGGGCCAGGTGTGAACCCTGACCCACGGACACGCGACCACCCTCACCAGCATAAGAGCAGCCCAGAGTAACAGGTGACCACTTGGTTTACACACCACCCTCTTCCTGGCCACGGGTGCCATCTCCCAGTGCCGGTGTCCCAGCAGGAGCCACCTGGGACAATGGAAGGGGAGAATTCTCCTGTTTGTCTCTAGTGGTCTTTAAAACAGAAAACAAAAAAAAAAAAACGAAGGCAGGCATCAAGATGCTTTTTCTCATCTCAATGTTTTTATTTTACAATTTTTTGCTGTATTTATTTTTGTGGAGGCCATGTTGCCAGCCATGCCACACAGGCTGGTCTGGAACTCTCGGCACAAGAGATCTGAGGCTGGAATGATGGTGTGAGCCTTATCTCAATGGTTAAACATGTGGACCCGCCTCACATCTGGGGAGGGAGAGAAGTGAACCAGCAACGGGGTTATCGAGAAAGAAAGGAGACCTGTTTATTTATTGATTTTAATTTTTTTGTAGAGACTATGTTGCCCAGGCTGGTCTCAAACTTCCGGGCGCAAGTGATGCCCCTGCCTTGGCCTCCCCAAGCAGTGGAATGACAGGCGTAAGCCAACCTTCCCCCGACACCTGTTTCTTCTGGAATATTTGCCTCAAGCCATCGGTAAAGAAAAAGGTTCTTGGCCTTTTTGCTGTGATACCTCCTGGTGGCCTTTGCTGGTCCAGATGTCCGGGTAAAGGCGGCTCTCTCTCCCGCGGCGGGGACGTGGGCCCTGGAGGCCTGCGGCCAATGACGGGCCTGGTGGGCAGGGGGGCCCAGCCCCTTGTTCTAGTGCCACGAATCTGAGGGGCCACCCACTTTCCGGTCGCCCCGGGAGCTGCTGACCCTGATTTCCCTTTCCCCTCCCACCCAACAGCCACACCCAGGAACGCTCCCCAATACACTCCTTGCTGGGAAACCCCCAGGATACCCACCAGCTTGTACGGACGAGGCGCAGTGACAATATCGCAGGTGCCCTTCCTTCACTGGGGGGCCCTGGGGCGGCTGCAGGGCCTGCTCGCTCTCCGGGGCCGTCTCCCACTTCGGCTCCCTGTCGCCCGAGTCCGCGCGGCGTCGGCGGCCCCTACCCCTCCGGGCCCTCCTGGAGCCTGGGGGCGCCGTCATTCCCGCCGTCGCCCAGTCCTCCCAGCCCCAGGTCAGGGCAGCGCAGGACGCCTCCGCACACGGCCCTGCGCGGACCAGACGTGCTCCCGGGCCCTGAGCCGTCCAGCCCCGCCTACAAGGCGGCTTCCCCGGGGGCCCGGCCCCACCCCAGAGCCAGGCAGCAGCGCGCCGGGTCGCAGACACCGCAGGAGGGGGCCACGACCCGGGTCAAACCCTCTTGTGGAACCAGAGGACGACTCCGCGGGAGCGCGCGTGCGCACTGACCTGCCTCCGGGTGCGGCGGCGCATGGGCGGAGGCGCTGCCCAGGACCGGCACGCGCAGGCCAGCTATCTGCGTCTGCGCAGGATCAGGCGCGGCGAGGACGCTACGGACTGCTCACGGTGTGTGCGCGCACGCACGGGCGCACGCCCTCGCGAAGCGTCGAGTCCCGGACGCTCTGCGCGGCCCGGAGCAGGGGGAAGGGAGGCGCGGCTCGGTCGGCGCGGGTGGAGGGGGCGTGAGGGCGCCCTACGGTGGCCGTCGAGGGAAGGCGCTACGGCTCCCACGCTGGGCCAAGCGCCTCCGGCGGCTGCGCCCGAGCGCCCCTTCCTCTGCCGGGCGACCTCAGCCCGGGACGTGTGAGCCACCCCCGCAGCCGCCCCGCCGGCTCCCCAGCTGCACGCCCCGGCACCATGCGGCCGCCCTGCGCACGGAGCCCCGAGAGACAGGGGCACCCGCAGGCCCGGCCCCCAGCACCGCCGGCCGGCCCCGAAGTCCGGGACGCCGGCGCCTCCGCGGAGCGGGCACCGGGTGAGCGGCGGGCGGGAACCCGGCCTCGGCGGGGCCGCCTCCAAGGCAACGCGCGGCGCGGGATCCGGCAGGGGCTCTGCAGCGGCGGGGCCCGACGCGACGTAGGCCGGGTGCTCACGAGGGGTGGGCCGAGCCTGGGGCCCGTCGCGTCCCTGCGGCCCCGAGGAAACGGTTCTGGCCCTGCCACGGGCCTAGCGGGCGTCTGCGGAAAGATGGGGACCCAAGCGGAGCTGCGGACCGCGAGAGCCGACGGGGAGGACACAGCCCCGCCGAGCCATGCTTGAGGGGCGCCGCCATGGCTGGGGTTCCGGCCGCAGCCAGCTACAGGCCGAGGTTGGCCTTAAACAGGGTTGCTCTGGTCCCGGCACCGCGTGAAGGAACCCGGCCCTGCGGCGCGGGAGGGTCAGGCGGCCTCGGCCCCCCGACTTCCGCCCTGGCCCGGTCTCCACGGCGGAGCCCCAGGCTGAAACTGCCTGACGGCGGGCGGCAAGGCTCTTGGCTACAGTCCCCTGTTCTGTTACCAACTTTCCTTCTCTGATTTGATACGTCCTGACCTTTGAGTTCATTCCGCTCCACGGATTATTTAGGCGAGCTCTAAACGGCACTTACTAGGTGAAGCTGGAGCCAAATGCCACGTGCACTCTTTGCAGCAGGGTCTGTAGGGCCGCTGCCCAGCCCCTTCCCTCCCACAGGACAAGCAGGAGCCGTCTTGGGGTCTGGTGACCTGCCCAAGGTCACTGCTAGGGAAGGACAGTGCTGGGGCTCAGGCCCGGCAGGGTGACCCCAGGGCCCCCCAGCCGTCCATTTGGCCCCCGGCACCTGTCAGGTTGCTGGAGGCAGCTGCCCCGCACCCGCCCCCCCGCCCCCCCGCCCCCCCGGGCTCGTTCTCAGTTTACCTGTCTCTTTTCCCAGCCCCTTGGCTTCTTGCAGGTGCCATTCAAGGATATTGTCAGCCCTGGGTCAGGCAGCCTCGGAAGGCCAGGGTGGTAACAGGCAAACTGCATAAGAGCAGAGGGTGGGGCCAGGCGCGGTGGCTCACACCTGTAATCCCAGCACTCTGGGTGGTCCAGCGAGTAGGGGGCTGCTAGGATCCCGTGGGAAAGAGCCACGCCGGCCCCTTCCTGTCCGTCTTGGCATTGATCACCGCCGCCCCCGCCACTACCCCGAAGGCCTAGAGCAAACACTTTGGCATTCGAAGGTGGTGGGCCCCTTGGAAGTATCCTTGGGAGGGTTTGAGAAAAGAGTAAGCCCAGGAGTGCCCACAGATCCCGCACAGGACTCTGTTTTCCTTAAGTCCAGGCACCGGAGTTTGTGTCTGCCTTAACCCGCTGGTGCCTAGGGAGGGATCCGCATGGCGTCCTCACACTGACCTGGGTTTCGTGGTTCTCCCCACAGGCCGACGCCTCCCCTGAGGCTCAGCTGCGGGCTCCCAGGCCTAGGCGCCCATGACCCCTACGCTGACCGCGCCTGGACGCCACCGCCAGGGCCCAATGCCGGTCATGCCCATCCCGCGGCGGGTGCGCTCCTTCCACGGCCCGCATACCACCTGCCTGCATGCGGCCTGCGGGCCCGTGCGCGCCTCTCACTTGGCACGCACCAAGTACAACAACTTCGACGTGTACATCAAGACGCGCTGGCTGTACGGCTTCATCCGCTTCCTGCTCTACTTCAGCTGCAGTCTGTTCACCGCGGCGCTCTGGGGCGCGCTGGCCGCCCTCTTCTGCTTGCAGTACCTGGGCGTGCGCGTCCTGTTGCGCTTCCAGCGCAAGCTGTCGGTGCTGCTGTTGCTGCTGGGCCGCCGGCGTGTGGACTTCCGTCTGGTGAACGAGCTGCTCATCTATGGCATCCACGTCACCATGCTGCTGGTGGGGGGCCTCGGCTGGTGCTTCATGGTCTTCGTGGACATGTGAGGGCCGTGGGCGCGAGCTGGACTCACTGCCCGTGGCTGTGTTCTCTCCAAGGGTGGGGCTGGCCAGCGCCTTCCCTTCTGCCCATCCTGCAGGCCGGCACCGCTGCCTCGGTGTCCACGGAGAGAAAAGAAAGGGCTGAGACTTACGTGGTGGGGGTGCGGGTGCCACCCCTAGGCTGGCTTCCAGTGCCCACCCTCCTCTCGTGCACTCTCAGGGGCGGTGCCACCTACCGGTGGCTCCTACTCACATGTCTTCAGGTTGTACTGCGGGGTGGGCCTCTCTCCAGGACCACACCTGCCAGGGACTTTAGACATCACCCTGGGAGACCCCTGGACACAGAGGGCTGTGTGCCCAGGAGCAAATCTGGAGGGCTCCCCTCGATGACACACCACACTGCCACAAAGCTGCTCACTCTGCCAGGGGCCGCCTGAGGCCTGACACTGCCCTGTGTCACCCTGAAGGGCTGTGAGTCCTGAGTCCCAGGCCAGCCTGCAGGGTCTCCTTGGTTGTGTACATGCAGTCTAGTGGGGGGACCCCAGGGGCTCAGATAGGAGGGGCTTCAGCAGGTTCCCAGCTCTGGGGCTGGCCTGGGGGAATGCTGGGAGCCAGGGGACTGACTCTAGCAACACTGGCCTGCCTGCCTGTTCCGAGAGGGCTGTCAAAATGTCCAGTAGAATCTGAATTTCTGGGGAGGCATCTCCATTCCTTTCTGGCTTTTTTTGTAGGGGGTGGGGGATTGGGCCTCTTTATTTGAGGGGACACCCTCAAAGAAAGCCCGGGAAATGGAGGCTGCAGTGAGCTGGGATGGAGACTTGTGTGTCCCGAGTGTCTGGAGCAGGGAGCAGAGGCCTCAGTGCGGCAACCACTGACCTGGAACCTGTGTGGCACCAGTAGCCTCTTGCAGCCATGGGCGTATGCCAAGGTTCTACCCACACTGTCCTCCAGTGACTGGGCGTTCTGGATGACAGCACAGGGACAGGGTTCAGGGAGGGCGGCCACCATGGGCCAGGCTCTCACCTAAGACCCCGTGCTCTGTTCCTCTCAGCCTTGCAGTCACTGCATCACTATGGTGACTGCCCACAGCTGTGTGACTTTGGGGGCAGATGGGAGGGCTCCCTGAATGATGATTGCAGGGATGATGACAGAGGCCGCCCTGGAGCAGGACACAGGTTGTGGCACTCAGATGGCAACCCTAGCTTCACCCCAGTCCATGTCCCCACATCCAGGCGTGGGTGGGCCCTGCCAGGCGGACCAGTGGCCCAGGAGCCATGAGGACAGTTGTGTGCCACTGGAAGAAAAACTTTTTGAGAAACCCTAAATCAGGTAGAGAAAGCAAAAAATACTTGACTGTAAACCGTGCTCCCTGATTTGTTGGCAAGCTTCTGTGGATGACCGAGGAGCCCCGCTGAGTCCAGGCCCCGGGCAGGTGGGCAGGGAGCGTCCTTGCTGGGGTGGGGGGGAGTCTCATTTCTTGCTGCAGAGAATCTTTTGCACTAAGTCACGCTATTTCCTCAAATAAGCTTTGTTTTTTGTTAACGTGTTACTCAGAGTCGCCCAAGCTCCTTGGCAGAAGGAGAAGGAGTGGCTGGGTGTCAGCGCCACAGGGAGGGGCGGCACCGTGGTACACTCCAAGCACCTGGCTGCCTGCTGTCCCCAGTGCCTGTGAATTCGTCATGAGATGAACCACCTGCATTAAACCTATTTTTTTAATGTGTTGATGGAGTGATTGCTTAAAGCCCAACTTTTTTATTCCTTTTTTAAGGACACAGTAATCAGCTAGAGCAACATAGGAACCATATTGTCCCACAAGATGGAAAAGTTTTCACAGTCATCTGTGATGACAGGGAAGGAGCCCCCGAGGCCAAGGTTCCCTTTGTGGGAAGCTGCCCTGGGGAGGTGGCCTAGCTGAGGGGCAAGGATTTGTCAGCAGGGCAGTCCCCAGGACACTGCTGTGCAGGCTGGTGGAAATTGCATTCAGCTGACTGGGCAGTTGAGAGTCTTTTGGAGTTTTGCTCTTGTCACCCGGGCTGGAGTGCAGTGACGTGATCTTGGCTCACTACAACCTCCACCTCTCGGGTTCAAGCGATTCTCATACCCCAGCCTCCTGAGTAGTTGGAATTATAGGCCCCTGCCACCAAGCCCAGCTAGATTTTGTATTTTTATTAGAGACAGAGTTTCACCATGTTGCCCAGGCTGGCCTCAAACTCCTGACCTAGGTGATCTACCTGCCAAGGCCTCCCAAAGTGCTGGGATTCCAGGCGTGAGCAACCCCGCCTGGCCTACCTAGTTCAGTCTTGGAGTAAAGCTGGGGTGGTGTTTGCGATGCTGCTGAAAGGAAAGAGGTCTCGGGGCTGTGAGCAAGAAAATGCCGGTTAGAAGAAAAGGAAAACGCAGGGCGCGGTGGCTCATACGTATAATCCCAGCACTTTGGGAGGCCAAGGCGGGTGGATCACGAGGTCAATAGATCGAGACCATCCTGGTCAACATAGTGAATGAAACCCTGCCTCTACTAAAAATACAAAAATTAGCTGGGCATGGTACCGCGTGCTTGTAGTCCCAGCAACTCAGAAGGCTGAGGCAGGAGAATTGCCTGAACCCAGGAGGCGGAGGTTGCAGTGAGCCGAGATCTCGACATTGCACTCTAGCCTGGGTAACAAGAGCGAAACTCCGTCTCATAAAAAAAAAAAGAAAACCAAAGTTCTTACTTATCTAAAACCCATTTGAGGCCAGGTGCAGTGGCTCACACCTGTAATCCCTGCACTTTGGGAAACCAAGGCGGGAGGATCACTGGAGCCCAGGAGTTCAAGACCAGCCTGGGCAACATAGTGAGTCCCCGTGTCTACAAAAAATTAAAAAATTAGCTGGCTGTGGTGGTGGAGGCTAGAAGATGGAGGCTGTGGGGAGCTGTGATTGCACTGCTGCACTGGGTGACAGAGTGAGACTGTCTAAAAAAAAAAAAAAAACATACTTTGAAGATTGGGAGACAGCCTCTTCTTTAGAATCTTTACTTTGTAAAGGCTTCCTTAGCTTCAGTGAAGGGAGGAAGTTCATGTTTCTCATTTTTTCACTGGCAGAGGCTTCTAATGACATGAAGATGACAACAGTTTCCTCCCAGCAGTCATTATGGCCAGAAAGTGCCACTTAAGGGGAAACCAACTGGCTGTAGTGGCTCACATCTGTAATTCCAACACTAGGATGCCAAGGTGGGAGGATCACCTGAGCCCAGGAGTTCCAGATCAGCCTGGGCAACCGAGAGGGAGACTCCATCTCTACAAAAAATATTTAAAGTTAGATGTAGTGGTGGTCACCTCTAGTTCATCTACTTGCTTGGGAGGCCGAGGTGGGAGGCGGTTGAGTCTACAGTGAGCCATGATTTTGACACTGCTCTCCAGCCTGGGTGACAGTGAGACCCCATCTCAAGAAGGTAAAGGGAAACTGTCCATATCCACTGTAGAGTTGTGTGAAACTGTTTCACCAAACTAAACTTTTGGGGTTTCATTTTTGATGGCAGAGTTTGTGAAATCCTTACAAAAACCTTTGCCCCTGAAAAGCTTAGGAGGGTGACATTTGTTTCACCAAACCCAGGGCTAAGGCTTGATGTGGAGCACTGCTTCACAGACCAGGCTTCTGATCTGAGGGTCGAGCTCTGTGTGCCCCACAGCGGGTGCCGGGCTGCAAGTGAGCCCTGAGGTGGGTGCAGGGCTGGGTACACAGCATTAGCTGTGCACACGAAGCTGGGGCAGTTAGCAAATGGGCCGCTGAGACTTGGCCAGGGAGAGCAGCCGGCACATGGCTTTGCCAGGTGGGTGTGGGTGAAGGTGGCTGTGCCCTTGACGGCGGTCACACCTGGCCACATACCACACCAGAGAGGCTGTGCAGGGCTCCTGCCTTCCCTGGGGCTTCCTTGGCCCTCCCTGCCCGGCTTCACTCTGGTTTTCAGTGGATTTGGCATGTTTTCAGATGTTCCCTGCGTGGGCCATCTCTATCCGATAGAACTCCCTCGACCATGGCAACACCTCATCTACACTGCCTTGTACAGGAACCACCAGCCCACAGGACCACTGAGCACGTGGACAGGTGCCACTGTGACCATGGAATGTCTCATCAGACCCAAGGAAACAGTTCCCACAGAAGGAGCCACTTGTGGCTGGATTATAACGAGGATCTCTTTTTTTTTTCAGATATGGGGTCTCTCTCCTTTGCCCAGGCTGCGGTGGCACAATCACAGCTCCTTGCAGCATCCACCTCCTGGACTCAGGTCGTTCCCCTGAGCAGGGGCATGTCACAGGCTCCAAGAGCCAAGGAGCTTCCCCGTGGCCAAGATGTGTGGCCTTTCAGGAGCCCCACTGAGCCGGCTCTTCCGGGGGCTGAGGAGCCCTGTGGGGAATCTAAGGGGGGCAGAACTGCTTACCGCCGCTTCCCAGCAGATCTGTCATCCTCAGGCTTTGTTAACCAGGCATTTCCCCTGTTTTATTTATTTATTTTTATTTGAGACGAAGTCTTGCTCTGTCACCAGGCTGGAGTGCAGTGGCATGATCTCGGCTCACTGCAACCTCCACCCCCTGGGTTCAAGTGATTCTCCTACCTCAGCCTCCTGAGTAGCTGAGATTACAGGCGCCCACCACCACGCCCAGCTAATTTTTGTATTTTTAGTAGAGATGGGATTTCCCCATGTCGGTTAGGATGGTCTCAATTTCTTGACCGCGTGATCTGCTCGCCTCAGTCTCCCAAAGTGCTGGGGTTACAGGCATGCACCACTGCGCCCAGCCCGCTCTGTTTGACAGGTTCCATTTTCAAAGTTGTCCTCCCCTTGAGGCCCCACATGACAGGCTGAGCTGTGCCGGCGCTCCTTGGAGGTTATCCCCTGAGCCTTTGTCCACAGTGACAGACGCGAAGGCCAGACCATGCTGCAGTGACTGGTAAGGGCGCGCCCAGAGAGGGATCTCGAGGGCCGCCAATGGTGCTGCATGTCTGGGGCTGTCTGTCCTGTGCAGCCTGGGTCCTCCCAGCAGCTGGATGGGAAGATACACCAGGACCACTGCCTGGGGACCAGGGCATTCCATGGAATTGTCACATTTAGAGCAGCCTGGTTTGCTCATGTTGGGCTCCACGTGTATGAAAACATGCGAATGATCTGCACGCTTGGAGGCTTCCCGGGGTGTCCAGCTGTGGTGAGGAGTCAAGGACTGGGACTTCGTTGAGAGGGAACCAGGCCTGAGCACATGGCTGCCGCTGCCTCCTGCAGAGGTCTCAGGCAGTGCGCAGCTGCTTTGCAGGGAGCTGGGAGCTGGATAGGAGACAGGATCCATGCTTACGAGGCAGCCTGTCCACTCGGTTATTCCCTTCCCGCTGCAAGAGGACCAGGTTGTCTGTGAGGGAGGTGAGTGGCCTCAGGGTGGCAGCTGGACCTGAGTGAGCTGGGAAGGACAGGTGTGGGCAGGGAGGCCACTGGCTGCTCCTGGGGACATGGGAAGTGGAGGTAGCTGCAGACCTGCCTGGAGATCAGGAGCATGCTGGGAAGGTTCTGGAATCAGAGCTGCCCAGCATGGGCTGGACAAGAGGCCCCAGTGATAGCACTGGATAGCAGTGGATTTGGGAGTCATGGAGTCATGGCTTTGGGAGAGGAGCCTGGCACGAGCTCCCTGTTCGTTCTGGAGGATGGGGGAGGGTGGGCAGTCCTGGTCCAATCCACTGGACCACAGAGAAGGCCTCCCACCTAAGGCAGGGGCGAAGCTGAGGGGAAGCTGGGTGGGCTGGGGTGGGAGGAGTCAGAGCGTTCCTAGGGAGGGCAGCCCCTGGGCAGTGATGGGTGGGAGGGAGGCCTGGAGGTGCAGAGCGGCTCCATATCAGGCTGAACAGAGTGCGGAGTCAGGAAGTCACAGCCAGGCACGGGGTGTGGAAGCAGCCACCATAGCCAGCCTAGTGCTGTTGACTTAGTGGGGTCTGATTTTCGTTCTGTCCCTAGCCCGGGAAATTGTGCCAAGTGGCTCCCAGAACCCCCCATTCCCTGTCGTCCATCACACGGGACACCAGCTTGGGCACCAGACCAGGGGTCTCTGTTGCATAAGAGGGGAATCCGAGCCAAGGAGCCAGCAGAGGGCGGGCGAAGGCTGGAAGGGGGTTGCTGGGGACCTGGAGACGTAAGATGCTGGGCTGAGTACTGTCCCGTCCCCAACACAGGGTACACAGGTGGCCTCGGAAGGCTGCCCTGGCAGAGCCCCCTTCTGCAGCTTCCACAGGCAGAACCATCCAAAACATGCACACACTCAGGAATGTCCTCCACCTCCCGCCCCTCCCAGGTGGCAGGATGGGATGGCAGGGGCTGAGGGGAAAGGGCCCGGGCTCCAGACACAGTCCCCAGCCAGAAGGACTGCAGGGCCAGGCACAGCCCCCGCTCCAGACCAGAGCTCGACCCCAGGCTGCCACATCGATGCTAATATTGATGCTCCGTGACCTTGGGAGGGCCTGTCCCCTCCAGCGTGCAAATGGAGGAGGGCGAGAGCCTGGCAGTGCCGTGGGTGCTGATTCAGCATTTTCTGGGGGAGGCAAACGTGCTTTGATCTGCAGAGACCAGGTCGCTGCTCTTCTTCCTTACGGGTCTCCTTTGGGAAGGGCCCCTCTCTGCCCAGGCCCTCCCTGCAGGCCTCTGCTCATGCTCTCGGAGGCTGGGGCCACTCTGCACCCAGCCCCCATGAGCAGCCCTTCTCATTCAGG